GAAACAATAACCCTCATGAGCAATAACACTTCGAACGTGCATTAGTATGGATTAAATGTAAGAATAATAACCATATTCCTCTAGTGTTGGAAGGTATCACATAAAATTATAAGCAACCAATAAGACTGTCGGTGGTTGGTTAACATTTAAACGTGAACCTAAATGGCAGCCATAAATTTTGTTGGAAGTGTGGACATCAACACTTGATAGAGACAGGTAGAGGAATAGGAAAGCAACTGCCATCAATAGGGTTACCAGGTGGAATGATGCACAAAAATTGTACAGTAAAACAGTGATATCTTATCGCTAGTGTGTGCTGCAGATGCCATCTGCTATATACCTTGGAAGGCGGTAATATCACAGATTCTCTGATAACCATCATGACACGATCACAAGCGTAACACATCTAGTGAATCCCGATGCGTCCTGTCCTACATACGGCATTCGAAAAAGTGCTCAAACTGTTGTAGCCAATTTACATGAAGTAGCTTGCATAACATCAAATTGCTCAACCCTTGGCAGATGTGGCTGTATACTCTACTGTGGCGATAAGCTATTTATGTAAACGACAGACTCGATTGGGACTCGAAGGAAACGCAAAAACTCCCGGGTCAAACCAAGAAGGGAAGCCGAGACGTTAACTGCGGCACAAGTAAACAAAACGGAACTCAAATGTAATATGTACATAGCTCAGTCCTAGTACAACCGGGCTTTTGCAATCATAACGTCCACCTACGAAGATACAAAACCCAATAGTGGTCCACTGGTACCAGGTTTTCCTTCGCTGGAGCCAGGACATCGTAACGCACAGCGGAGCTCAGTTGTTTCATTGTGGCCCACTACCCACGTCAATGAAGACCGAGAGCGTAATGTAACCAAGTATATGCTACCTCACTATATTTTTAAATTCTGTTATTATAACAGTTCATTCGCTATTACCAAAATTGGATCTCCTTAAAATGTTTATGGTCCTTACAACCCGCCACATTGATTTTTCACCGAAACATGGTGCACATCAGCTATTGGTGACCTGCAACTGCGTGTGCTGAGTTATCAGTTGTTTCGGAATGATCATCTGCATAAACGCGGTGGTGGATGCATCATCTACATCCGCTATGACACAACAGCAATTGCAGCTGACCGGTTAGCCTTCAATGATTTGAAGATACATTATGGTTGACTATTCCAGCCCATGATCCGCTACTTTGCTGCATTTATAGAACTCCTGATACCACTCTCCATTAATCTCAGCAGTTACTGGCTGCTCTTAGCACTGCTCTCAGCATTCAACACAAGTACACTTCTTATGTGGAGATTGCAACTTGCCAAATATAACTTGGATTTTGCATAAGCCTACAAGAACTTGCGGAAATAAGCCAGTTTTTTTTATCTTAGTAGCTATTCGCAACAAATAAATCAGGCTACTTAGATAACATCATTGAAATGATCTTCACTATTGGTAATGCATCTGTTTGTGTGTTAACTGGTGATCCATTAATAGGAGATGACCACAATAAGGTGCTCTGCGGCATGAATAATAGGTCCGTCGAAATGTCCCGAGCAATGAGGAAGCTAGTACCCAGACTTCACCTTAATGATTGTAACACATTTGACAGTCTGCTTAGGAGTATGTGTTAGGACCGATTCTTCACTGCAGCAGACTCCGCCACAGCCACAGGCAAATTCGCGAAAAAGATCGGCAAATGTACGGAGATGTTAGCAACTATGCCGAACGTAAACCTAGACCCCTATGATAACCGATACAAAAATTCATCCAAGGTCACTTTCAAGCTAAAGAAATTGAAATCACTGCATTGCCAAAACCGACCTCGCAATATTAGTTAAAACACACGATACCTTAATGAAACTTGAACACCAAACTCAAACGTCTAAGATTGACGACGAAACTCGTGTCGCCAAGTATACAGAAAAAGCTCAGAAGAATAAATTCGGAACGACACCACGATATTCCAAGCCTACTTTTTAATGACGGCAAGGTAACAGACGAGATAGTCAAAATTCGATGAATTCGGTGAATTTCTGCTTTGCAACCTTGTTGTCTACTGCATCATCTGTAAGGTGTCGGTGAATAAACTATACCTCAAATTACGTTAATGCATCAAGAGAATTGTCAAGAATTGTGTTACTCTATTTCTGACGAGATTGTGCCCGCTTAACACTTCACAACAAGCGTTTACTACAGAGCCCTTTGTACTACATACCTGATCATGTTACGACAACCATTCAGATTTGCATGGCAAATGTCATCCTACTTCTGGATACCCAAAAGCTTTTGAATGCAAAGCGCAGCAATTGTTGCTGGTTAGATTTGAATCCTATGGCATAGGTAACCTTCTGGTGAGCTGGTTCGATTCCTACCTGAACAATTGAACACAAAAGGTACAAATTGGTCAACAGTGTTCTACTTCCAGAAATGCCACAAGTGGTCTTGGTCAGCGCAGTGTATTGGGCCAATTGCTTTTCCTCATTTACATAAACCAGACATGCTAATACATTAGACAAGGGCACCCGTTTTTAGTTGCGAACGACGTCAAACTAGTATACTTAGTTTCAACCTGACAACCTAGAACAATGCCTAAAATATATAGATGAAGACCTATCATCCCTAAACAAGTGGAGCGAAGGCATGTCAATGAGGTTTTCGGTAGATAAATCTCAGATACTCTATCACAGATGCAGTATAGCAAAAGGATCCATCAATAATATTGCTGCCCCCATCTCAACTGCGTATTCCACTCGAGACCTGGGTATTCGATACTCCCGCAGACTCGACTTCTCCGAACACATGTTACATCAAGTAGCGAAAGCGACACAACCAACAAGCTAAGTCACTAGGTCCTTTTCATTACCCCAAACACGACTCTAATCATTCAACCTCACAGTATGATCCAGTTTAAAGCATTTCATCATCATACTCAGCCACTTAGGCAAAACGGAAATAATTACGTTGGAAAACGTCCAGCGCTCATTTACCAAATTGTTCATGAGGCGGTCTTCAAAGCATACCTATGGGAACCAATGTTCTTGCCGCCAGTTCGATCTTCTCAGGCTTCGATGACTGTAAAACAATCTCAATCTTCTCTACAGTGTAATGGACTCACAAGTTTTCTTAACGTATACGGCTGTTGCTTCCCAGGTTGGCTCAACCTATCTCACTCGTAATGGGAAACGTGTACAATTCTTACAGATGACCAAGCAAAGTATCTGCTTAAAATGCTAGTTGGTGTTGTACGCCTATCTGCGGAATAAACTACCGTTGGAATTAAGGACCAGCAAAGGCCTGCTTATTTTTATATCTCATTTAAACTTTCCTTTATTGGACAAACGTGATCAACCTTTTCGACTCTCATTGAATCCGGCCCGAAAAACTTAGGACAATGTTAGCTATCAAATAGTATCGCTTATTAGATTCTCAACTAAAATTACTTAATTGTTCCATATTGAATGTAGTTCACGGAGGAAATGATGATAAAACTCGCTATACTAATGATCGTTCCACAAATGGCAACGTATCCCGCTCTCCGAGAAGTATACCCATTCATTTATTATTTATTTATTTAAACCACGCTTTGGAAACATATAATTTGCGGATCCTAGTCCCACATGCGACAGACTGGATGCGTGCTGCTGATGATTACTGTTATTACGGAACCGTCCAGGGCCTTACCGAATGGTGACGGTCGTATGATTAGTTATATGAGTACTCAAAGAAAAGTCGCATAACTGACCACGTAATCTAGCTGAGCTGTCCACAAGACGTACCGTCTTTGGTGAACATCTACAGATCGAATGTCGACAGACCCACTCCTATACAAACATGTTGCCTTTACATTTGATTCGACATCGCTCACATGCTCACACTTTGCGGTACTATTTTTATTTTATATATACCACGGATGAGTAGTATAGTTTATAAGAAAATTGGGAGTGCGTCGTTTTCAGGACTGCCATTCAAAGGGGTTCGTGTCACGAAATTCACCGCGAAACGTACTGTTGCTTCAGCGGGAATGGTGTACAATGCTGCTAACCAACGCACATCAACAGAATTTCTGGTTAGCTTTTCCATCATGATACCGATAACAAGGCAGCGCATGTCTAATGGCTTACATTAATGCACCTGCAGTTACACTGTTAGCTACCTATGGAGCAGTGACCAAAGTATAGGTAACAGGATCAGTGAATGAATTCCAAAGTGGCTCCCGCAGGCGGATGAAACACGCCACGGTTGTACCAGGTGAATAGAAGCAGGGTTGCCTCAACATTAACATTACTGAACTCCGGTCACCAGGTAAATCCGGATGAGTCATTCGTAGACCCCATGCGCAGTCAACAGTTTCACGTTCTCAGTATAATCGAAACCATTGTTAGCAATCGACGGCGAACATCACTGTGACCAAAGACTGCTGACAGTGACACTAAGCCTACCGTTGCAGCGTATAAGGTATGAATCAGAAAAACAAGATGACCACCAATAAATTTCATTTGATCTAGTTTTGAAGTGCATGTTATCTACATGTGCGTGGCCGAAGAGCATGTGCGAAATGTCGTGTCATCCTACAACTTTTGTATTCCGATATTTTTATTTGGAATTATAAAGGGCATTTCTGGTTTTGCATTGGTTTTACATATTACATCTTACTTAGTTTTGCACGATTGTGCTTGTCGAGCTTGGAGAAAATGACGGAGTCATCTTTGGGTTTACGTCTTCCTATTTTCCTGTCTGGCTCTCGGGACTTTTCGTACCGATGGGACACAACGAGTGATAACAAGCAGTAGCCTGCTTCGGTGTACTTTTAAGTCATCGCCTAGGATTGAGTAAACCCAACTTACCCCTCAAGGGCTAGGTCTATACTTTGAATGATTTCATTTCATCCGGTTCGTCCTTGAGAGTAGTTAGAGTCGGCGGTAACATGCTAATGTTTAACCATTGCAAAATGGCTTACGATCACACTGTGACTTCTCTGCGCTTCCCTTTTCAGACGTTTGCCACTTTCTACCAGACTCTGGCCCCTGTGATTTAAAGCACTCAATGTGGTATTTCGATCCTAACTATCTTCAGTCTGGGAGCCGCATTGGTCAGGTGGACAAAGGCGCTTGTCGGACATTCGCTTACTCTGGCTGCGGAGGCAACAGTAATCGATTTGTCGATCAACGGTCATGTGAGGCCACATGCGCAAAGTTCAGAGAGCACCTAGAATGGCAAGACTCCGAATTAAGTGAGGGAAGTGGAGCCAAGCAACTGGGACGTATCGATGGAGTGGACTTATCCGAAATAGACGACTGGGGCTATTTTAACGCTTTGCTTTCTAACACCACAAGTGCGGAGCATAATGCAGTGACCGAAATCGGTGCGCCAAAGAACCAAGAATTGGCGAAGAGCGTCAATCTGCTGAGTATTGGTATGTAAAAATGAAGTGAATCTCACTTAGCATGTTCAACACAAAGCACCGGTATCATGATTTGTCCAGTGGTCCCAAGGGTTTTCAGAGTTTAAAATGTTGCAAGCTCTCTGAAGTAGTCAGCTTAGATTCCATTCGGTGAAGTCAACATGGTGTTTTATGCACTAGTAAATGGTGAATATTCAGGTGTAACACATACGCCAAGGACGTGGATAAAAACTAAAATAGAACAGTATAAAAGAATAGATATAATACTCCAGTCGTTGAAAATGTTGTTAGAGCTAATATCACTGGGGTAATCTATTAACTTTTTTATGATTAAAACATTATCCGTCAAAATTGTGGCAAGCAAGTAACTACTCGTGTATCATTGGCGCCTCTGCGGGCATATATATATAGTTTTATAACTCTGTCCGCTTAAGAAGGTTGATATGCACTCAAAAAGCGCAAAGTGGAGGGGTGGCTAACATCAATGAGCATTTTAGAAGCAAGCTCGTTACAGTAGCTAACATGCTGGATACAATGATAAAAACATGTTCCGGCCTTGAAATGAGACTACACAGAGATAAATGTTTCAATGACCTGTCAATTACTTCGAGGTCCTAACTAAGAAAATTAGGCGAGATCACGGGAGAGGAATAGTTTCAATAGGGTAAGGCATATGCAGTGACACTAGGTGCGGTGGAAGACCTGAGTCGTTTAACAATGAATATATGTCTCCTAGGTGCAGCGAATATTTCGTTCACGTGAATTGACCACGTAATTTAATTGCTCAGTGTCATTTCTAGGCATTTTACTGACGTGGAAAATGTCAAACCTTCACCATCGATAGAAAGCTGCGGGAAACGTGTTTAAATTCTCTGCTGGCGATTTGCTTTAAACAGCGAAAATAGAACATAGTTGCATTTTTAGATATTCAGCAGTACGCAACGGGACTTGGGTTATGATGTGAGGTTGTCTTTGATGGCTTTTACTTGGTATGGCCGAAAGCTCTGTGGTTGGACGATAAATGCCGAGGATTACGTCATGCGCATATTTAGTAAGATGGCTTCTTCAGGGACGGGAGTTAAAGTGGCATAAATGGAAGTGTGATTGGGACAGCCATCGGTCTCAAAGGACTAACCTTGACGCCGGAACAATCAGTTTGGCACCAGGTTTGGAATAACCGTCACACAATCACGGGCCCTGATGAGCGCCAGTAATCGATCCGCGTTCCATAAACACCCCCTGTGGAACGTGCAATAAGATGGTCAAAATAGAGGTTTCATGTGGAAACAGCTCGAACCATTTTCATGCCAACTATGGGAAAATCAAACAAAGCAACCGTAAGCTGATCAGCAACCGGGCAGGCTCGTCTTGGTTCTGTGAGAAGCGCAATACTGACCCGCTAGTTATAACCGCAATTCCACTGTGCCAGAAGTATGATAAGTTTGCAGAAGTCGTTGAGAAATTTCTGGGCAACAAAATAACCTCGGTAGAAACAAGCACAGTAGCACGTCTGACAAAGGCCCCTCCACCGAATTTCAATGCAACTTAAATCCACAACACCAAATGCTACACTAATAAAGTTGCTCTTGCAAACGTTGCCAATATTCCAAATCGTCCAAGCGTTCACAAAACACTTTACTCCCGGCCTATTGGCAACAATTTCCCAGAAACCCACTTCCTCCCACCAGACTTTGCCGAAATCCAAGAGATATGCCAAAACCAGTGGCAGCTGTGCCGTGGTTGCATCAAAGTGCACTCCAAAAGCAGACGCTGCTGTTTCTATTATCACACTCGTAACTAATGTGAAAGGTAACGCTGCACGGATGCACAGCAAATCGCTTCGTCACACAACCACGGTTCATACTCCTAGGAAAGATGCTCAGAAAAAATCGGATGCCCTATCTATAAGAACTACCAACGTTCCTGAGTCAACATCGAATTATCTGAAGGGGAATTAGGTGGATGAGCTGAACCAATAGAATGCCGTAACTAATGTCCTCGGTATTCTGACTGAACCCTCCAAATTGACTAGGATTACCCACCACTCGTATTCGGAGCACTAAGGCTATGCCAGGCTTCTCCGGGTTGGTAAACCCTGTAGATAAATTGGAAGAAGTGTTGCATCCAAAGGCACGTCGCTAGAAATGGTTCCGTTCAATCTGCATCTATCCAGACGTTTCGCTGGGCGAACGCAAGCCAGCGAGGCAGAGCTTAGAGGAGTTCCGGCTAAACACCGTAGCCAGAACCGATCTATCTTCGGTCTACCCCAGTCTCATGAGCACGATGAATGCGAAGCAAAGGCACACGACTAGGAGCAGTGACGCTATATTCTTGTGTCCCTGCTCTTGAATGACGGTGTGGCTATTTCTATATCGAGGCTGCCAAGATCAGAAAGCTACAAAGGGTACACGCCAAGGGTAATTCAGGTTGCGCTACGAACTAGGCAGATGGCACCTATGCTACTGGAACGCTGGCGGTCACTTTGGAACAGAATGCCAACCGAGCTCCGGTTCAAAGCGGCGAGCGAAACTGTCTCACTTAAAGCGCCACTGCATCAGGTTAATAAAGTGTGTATCCCATCCGAAATTCACACTGGAAGCAGGTATGAAGAATTTGAGGGTCTTCTTGTGCAATCCTGCAGCTACGCTGCATGCATTGGGCGAACTGAGTTATCAGAGGGGCCAATCACGATGCCACTGAAACCAAATCCAAGCGACTCGTTGCTAATACCACAAAAACGGCTAGCTGCCGACAACACAACGGTCGGCACAACCTCTCATCTTAGCCACAAGTCTTTCGGAACTCTGCTGAGAACCGAAACTCTTTCCTGCATGTACACGAATGCGCAAGGCCTCCTCAGCAAATGCGCCGAGCTTCGGTTGCGCCAGGTAACAAACGCTTGACATGTCATCTCTATAACCGAGACTTGGTTGCACTCAGAGATTACGGATGCCAAGATCGCGATTCAGGCAATGTCCTTGTTCCGACACGATCGTCCCAGCAGGGAGGTGGTGCTATCCTATACCATCGTAGCAACTTACAGTGCGAACCACTGTATGATACGGAGATGCGGGTCACCGATTCGCAATGGTGCGGGTTGCGTCTCAGACACAACAACTGCTTCGTGGCAGTCGTATATCGCTCCCATCGGTTACTCTTTAAGTGAATTCCCGCCTAATATCATCACAGATAAAATGTTTATTCCCAACTTACCGCCACGTTCTTATCTCCCGTGAGTTCAATGTGTACCACTTGGAAAGCTTGGCATCCCCCAGCGAAACATACAAGGCCGAACTGCAAGACCTTATCGCATGTATCCCGCTCTAAAATCACATCACCACACCCACCAGGTACAGAGCTGGTAGCAAACCATCGGTACTTGACATCGTCCTTCCAAATGAGGAACTCATGATTGACAGGCCATTAATAGACACCCCACTTCGGTTAAGTGATCATATCACCATACTTTATAACTGCTCTCACTACACTTTGAATGCTTTCCCATAATCGATTATATTCACCCAAGAGCGCTGAACGTAGCAGCAACAACGCTGGCCGGGCCATTTCCACCTTTCTTCCAATGCGGCTTGGATAAGCAACTTGTGTCTACCATGTGGAAACATGAATTAATATCTCCAATTTCCAAACGCGGTAGTCACTCGGAGCCCGCCAACTATCGCCCAGTGGTCCTACTCCCTGGGCTGTCAAAGTTGATGGAGGCAATCATCGCTGAGGCTTTAGTAGACCACCTGGAACACCACAACATCACAGCACCCGAGCAACACGGTTTCCGCCAACACCGCTCCTGCACTACCAAACGTGTGATTGCACACAGTAGTTGAACAGAAGCAGCCGATGAAGGCAGAAGGACAGACATCATTTATCTCGACTTCTCCAAAATGCTCGACCGACTGGACCACCGAATTCTGCTTCACAGGCTCGACAGCTATGGAGTTGGGGATCCAGTCCTTGGGGTAGATCAGGAAGTTCCTGCAGCATCGGCACCTGCAGGTCACAGTTTGATGTGCGCCGTCCGATCCGATTCATGTCGAATATGAAGTTTCACAGGGATCATTTCCGGGGCCGCGTCTCTTTCTCATTTTCATTAACGAGCTCACGCGTTTTATTGCCTCAGATTGCTTGCTATTCACTGCCGATGCTAAGATGTAGCGGACGATCGCCGGCCCAGGACATCACGACGCACTTCAGCGAGACCTGGACAGAGCGTACGACTGGTCACTCCACAATCTGCTCCAGTTCAATCCGGGGAGTGTAAGGTAGTTCACATTTGCCACCAGCCGAAAGTCACTTACAAGCTTGGAGATCATGTCCTGCATGCAGTCACGCAGGAGCGTGACATTGGGGTATTATTCCACGCTGATCTGGACTGCACAGAACAATCTAAGGTGTCAAAGACTGGGAACCAAGACGACGGCATGCTGCGGAGGGCATTTGGGCAGTTTGATCCCTCCGTCGGTTCGCAGTTGCTTAACACCTACGTGCGACCTCATGGGGAATACGCAACCCAGGCCTGGCAGCGCTGGCACAAGTAAGACCTTGCAGCGCTCAAGACTCCACGGCGACGAGCCACGAAGCACGTCAAAGGGTTGTTCAATCTTCCTTATCAACTTAGGCTGAGGACCCTAAAATCATACAGCAGCCGGTGCCGGCGCCTGCGTGGCCACCTTATTATGGTCTATCAGATTCTAAGGAACCCCAACCACGTCTGCTGCCACCTACTGCAACTCAGCCACAACACTAATTTAGGGGCCACGTAATACAGTCGGTAAGAATGTCGACGGAACTTTTACTCTCTTCGTGTGTGTCAGTCTTGGAACGTCCTCACGAATTACATTGCTGTCGCCCCCAATTTACCTGTGTTTAAAAACGCCTTGACTTTGCTCTAACCCACCTACATTAAGAGATATAGGTTGTGTGTCTCGACAGATAATATATTACGACTGTGGTGAGTTCACCAAAGCGATTTTCACTTTCCCCCTTTGTTTTCTATTCACCATGTTGTGGTTCTCATTCTCACCATCCTACGTTACTTACTAAATATTGGCTTGTTGCCCGCGATATACCATTGTTTCGGTTCCAAATTGCTCCCCAATAAACACCAATATACGTGTATTTTAGTCAAACAATTATAAATGGTTCCATAACATATGAAGAAAATTTGAGCACAATAATTCTATAAAGTGACGTTTGATAGCTTATTTCTTTTTATCTTGGAGTGGTTACTATTGGAATTCGATATACCTAAAGCGTCGTTTTAGTAACGTACTAGCAGCCAATTAAAAAATGTACTTGATCATGGATCACAACATACGCCGGTGACTTGCATTATCTAATTATTTAAGACTTGTAAGTCGAAGCTCATTTCCCCTTCTGGCAACTCACATCATATCTAAGAACCCAGTTGCTTAGCCTAATAATGTTTGATCAGCCTATGGTCTAGGCTCCAGACCAAAAACTAGCTTATGGTATCCCAATACGCTGCGTATTGGCTAACCACATTGTGTGCTGAGTGTACGCGTTGCGGTATACAATAAATTAGCGGGCATTTAAATAACGGCTTTTGCCTTATCACTTACTAGGGTTACTTCGCAATTCCTGCTACTCACTAAACCGAATCTATCCAAACAGTCGAGCAGCCCCAAATATATGAAACGGTGTTCCGGGGGATTCCGATCCAAACAGGTAATGACGAATTCCATCTTTAACTCTCTAACGTGCTGAACCGACTCTTTACTAAGTCAGTTGCAAACCGGCACAATTTGTTGCTTTTTCACATTGTGGTAACACGCTCAGAAATTGACCTTAGTTACGATCGTCTCATTTATGTCCAGCAGATCTTGAACCGTGCCGACGCCCCGCTATTTCTGGGAATTGCCATCCTCTAAACTGTTCAGTGGCTGACTTAAATGCTACAAACTGCACAATATTGAAGATGCAACGATGGTTTTTTAACGCGCACACCAGCAACTGTGAACCATTCAGCTACAGTGGTTGTGGTGGTTCAGAGAACACATTTGACGATGCGCAGTCCTGTCAGGTGGCCTGCAAGGCCCGCATTGTGCGCCCGGACCGTAAGTTGCATCAAGATTTTTTGCTAAACTATCTAAGTGCATTTCTACTATCTGCAGCTATGTGAACCAATGCAATCTCAAGGTTATCAGTGGTACTTAGGTTATTCTGCTCGTTGAAAACTGCACAGAGTTGATCTGTTACTATTTTCATCAAATATCACAAGATATTAGCACATGACTTTTGCGATGGCACTAATGTGTCATCATGCATCCAAATGGTTGGATGTCAACAAACCTTGAAACACTAGGTGGATTGTGCGTGTCAAACACATATATTTATCTACCGCACTGTCCACCCTAAATCCGTTAGCATGAAACTATAATTACCTTACATGAATCAGTGCTTAGTCTCAATTCTTGCTGTAATATGACGAGTCATTAGAAGGCTAGCAATTGGCGGAGTGCAAGTGGTAATGACCGCTGGCTCCATTGTTACATTTAAAGAGTGAACATGTATCCCAGCGAAAAGGGAGGGCTCATAGTTTCCCTACCTCTATAGGAGTATCATATTTGGTTTTCATTTAGTTCCAGAGAGTTTAGATGGATACTTGAGTGTTTACAATATAAGCAGTTAATTACCACTCATGCAAACAATTAGACGCAAGTTAACTTAGACCCTGCTTTCGTGACAAGCTCAAATAAAAGCTTTCCGAAATGGAATGAAGTTGAGGACAGCTGAATCGGTAGAACACTCTCTTCAACCTTTTGAGGATCACTAAGTCGCCTAACTTGAACTGGTTGAATAAATATATGGATGACGTTTCGCACTCCATCCTTAGGTTACGCGACACCTGGTTAACCTGTAACTACCGTGTTACTAACAGTCATGATAGAAAATATAATAACTGCATAACTGTCAACACTAACTAAGCATGTGGTCACAAGCATCCAATTGGCTGAAAAACTGATCAGGTGTTAACAGCTTGCCACTCAGCAAGCGCACAAAAATTTCCCTGCTATTGATGTTGCATCCGATGAGCTCAAGAAAGATATAAATGGGTACAGCGTTTAGTCTACAAGCGTGAGTAAGGGTGCAATGAAGACAATCATTTACCACCGGTAATCAGCCAGTCCATTGTCTTTTCACTTACATCTATTGGTTACAGCCATTAAGTGAATGATTCACGCCAGATACGCTGCCTAGACTCGGCGAAACTGACTCGGTACTTGACAGATTCATAACACTGTTCAACAACAAAAATCTATTTTCTATAACAGAGATGACATGTCTATACCTTATAGATAATATTCCACCTATAGTAGAAATGTATTCCGCTGTTACCTAGCAAGTCAGGTTACATTGTTATAAGCTACTGGTTATTTTCAGTAATGTTCAGTGCAGAGCGTACGAATTATATTTAAATGTACTGAAGCGCAACATATGTAGTATGCAAGTATGTGGCAAATACGTTCAAAACAGCACTGTAACACTCGCCCCTAACTATTGACTGCAGCTTGGCACTGGAAAATGATTATTTCGCCGAGATCGTCGCTTGGATGATCCAATGCATCAAGCTGTAGTAATCAGCAAAAGTTAACCACCGTAGAAGGCGTGCACTTACCACTGTAGCGCTGTTCCATGACTGCAATATCTTGATAAAAACGCACACCATGTTCATCGCTAACAGATCCCAAGTTCTCAGGGAAAAAGCCAGAGTGATTATGCAATAAGTGCACTTTGAGTGAGATTCGTGCACCCACAGCCAGATAGTCCGCAAACAAAAAACTAGTGAATGGCAAGCCCGTGATAAAAGTCATCTAACACACGCTTGACTTGGGTGCTCCTAGTTCATTTGGATTATTCCTCTCTATCCTCTCTCCATCTTCTCGCAGCATTGTCACTGCATACTCATTAGAACCGGATTTACCGGCCTTACACAATGATCCATCAAACGTGAAAATATCTTCAAGATAAGAGTCCGTGCCATCAATAACACGTTTCACAAACATCCGTGATTAGGCGCAAGCGGATAACTCAGTCACATTGAGCCGATTGCCTTTCTGTGTGACACCATTCGATACAGAATTCTCGAGGCAGTCCAAAAAGCCTAGGCTTATTCCGATGCGGCGTTTCTCAACACTGCTGTGAAAGAATTTGTGATCTCTCAATCTGTGTTCAGCGTTGTGTTCAGATTCAGTTAGCAGGTTCCAGTCACGCGCCATTCCTTGTGAGCTTGTCAGCCAGTGCGCCTGTATAACCCATCACACGGACCGAGCGACCACGCCGACCGCTCATTTGACCTTGCAACCACCACGCTCGCCTGACCGATGTGCGCCGCTCTCAAAGCTGGAAAAGTACAGAAGGCCAACCAACGCACAGGGTCAGGTAACGACACCACGTAGAATGGCGGAAAGGCGAATCCGAAAACGCTCAAAGCAAAAGACATGCGAATTAGTAGAATATCTTTGATTAGTTAAAATAGGTTTTTCCTGCTCGCACTGTTTAGAATGATGTCATGCGGAATGTGCAAACGTGTCCCAACAACAGGTACGAGTTCGAACTAGCTCCCGTGATGTACTTTGTTTCTGTACTGCGTGTTTCACCATCCCACTCTTGAATTGCTTGCTTATTCTAGCTCAGAATTGCGACCGGTTAGCCGCAGAAGCCCAGCAGAGGATAAACGATAAGATTACTTCAATGGAAGTCAATATGCACCACGGAAGCATAGCGGATTCTAAGCAAGCGAATGTGACACAATCCGCTTTCTTGGATCGCAATCAGCCACGTTCTGGTCTCCGTTGTCCTCTCCAAATTTTGCAGAAAGCCGAGTGAATACTGACCGTACCTACGAGAGTCGAACAGTAATCATGAGAACGAAAATCAGGCACCACTCGAAACGACTGTTTAAGCAAATTCCACTAGACCTGTCATTTAGCACGAACAAGGATGAAGCAGCCGCACATCAACCCTCGGTAAATGTAGCTCAAATGTGTTGTCGAGACAAAGCCCCCGGGAACATCAGTTACATATACACGTACCGTCCGTCGGCAAATATAAAAATTTATTTATTTATTTATTTAGATTGCCGCAACGGTCCGCCGAGAGATCGCCGTTGCGGCCTCTTCTGTTGTAAACACCGTTAACGCAAATAGAGGAAAAAAAGCAAACAATCAACACTTGTCATCAGGTCAGGAAAAACGAGTACCTTAACTTGTAGAGCAATGAGAAGGGATGCAACAATAGTGCCTGGAGTGTTGTATGCTCAAATGTCCCTGAATCTACCGTCATCACATTGCGGGATAATTTTTCGGACGATCAATACCAAAGGAATTCGTTGTATCGTCTGATGAGTATCAAAGCCAATCCCATAAAGCTAGTACGAATTACTCGTCATCCGAACTCGCCATACTATGGAGAACTCAGACTTATTCGAGTAACACTAGAATGCTCCACCGAAGTAGAACATGTTTTACTCTCCACAAGCGCGCTTAAACACGGAACTTATGGGGTACGCATCTTTCCTGATGTCCCTTGGAGCGCGCGACAAACAAAAAGAAACGCCGAAGACGGACACAGCAAGAAAGACCGCCTAAACAAAAGCTCCATTCATGGTGTGCCAGAACATCCTTCTAACGATGTTCAAGAGACCGGAAAGCAGGATTTAGAACAGTGGCGCTTCATTCGTGAAACACTTCCTTTGGATAATATTGTGGCGTATCTCTTACTAGGATACTTCTCTCACTAAATTATAGAAGATACGGTCATAGAATTCTAAAACTTGTGGTTCAGCCAGAGCAACAAGCAACGGATGTTTTAGATCGATGGCGGAGAAATCGGAAAGGTCTTCCTTCTGAACTTAGATTCAAGGTCGCAGAGGTTTTGCACAGCTCAAATATTAAAACACCTAAAGCAGCAAGCTTACCGACGAATGCACAGAAGGGTAACTTGACTGCTGCTTTAATTGGCTCTGACATAGGTCTAAACGAATATTGGAACGCACCTTGGCCAAATCAGGTTTCAGAGGAGATATCATTTTCCCATCAAAAACGAGTAACTGCCGACATCCAATCGGTCAGCATTCTCCCACTCTTGACCCCTTCATCCCTCTGTGGGCTCCTAGAAACCTAAGCAACTGACCTGCTTGTATACAAATGCTCATGGTCTTTTTACTAAACTGGCCGTACTGAAGGATCGCCAAGCTTCCGGCTCATATGATGTCATTGGTATCACCGAGACATGGTTGCGCACGTTAATGACGGACGCTGAAGTTTCTCTAACGGGCATGTCGCTGATCCGGAAAGGTAGGCTCACAAAATGAGGCGTAATCCTGTTTCACCAAAACGACTTACAGTGCAAAGCCGTGGCGGATTCAGACTCGCAGTTCCGTGACTCTCTTTAATGCCGCTTAAAGTTAAAAGGCCGTGAACGCTTGCTTTATTGCCTTGGTGTACCGCACCCAACGTCTACACTCGAAACCCAATGCCAACTAGCGGCTGCTTCAAGATGCAGTTTACTGCGAAAGTAAACTCACACACTTATAATGAGTGATTTCAACGGACATTGTGTAGAAACTCCTGCGACGTGCGGATAACAATTCAAAGCCCATCTACAACATCTCGTAACTACTGTTCCTCTTTACCATCACATCACTATGCCCCCTCGGTTCAGAACAGGTAACAGGCCATCTGTGCTGGATCTCGTGCTTACTAACAGCAAGCATATGATTGATGTGTTAGTTTTAGACTACCCTTTGGGTGGCAGTGATCACGAAGTCTTGAGTTGCAACTTCGTCTGCTATGCAGAATATCAGAATGAGAACGATGAGACTGTGCCAACCATCACAATCTCTGATCGATTAGCCCAGCTAGTCAACGCTACAACTTGGTCGTTCCTGGCCAAAGAACCTCCGGAAGTCGCTTGGCTGGCGTTCTTCAACAAATTCAGTCAGCTGATTGTAGAGACTTCCGAGAAAAGAATTTGCAATAAGTGCACATCATTTTCTTTCGTTAGGAGCAGAACTCGAAAATGGATGACAGTACGCAACGCAGCTTGGCGAGTGTACAGAGAAGCTCCAGTACCAGAAACTTGGGACAAATACGTAGCTAAACTTAACCACTTCACTCAACTGCTCAGGAAAGACAAAGCCGCATATCAACAGCACATCGCAAAAACTTTCAGTGCTAAGCACAAACTGTTGTACAAGCACGTCGACAGGCTACGAAAGGTAAGCCAAGAATTTCATACACACAGGAGGGCTGATGGCCCAACAAGAACGGCTGTGTAAGCATCAAATGCGCTGTAATATGCAATATGCAATTCGCTCCCACGTTTCAGTGGGTTTTTCTACCAACCTCTCTTCCAGCCTTTGTCGTCTCCTGGCCAGCACTATCCCACATCACTTTTACCGCGGAGGCTGTGTTGAAAATCTGATGTCTCAACGCAAACACAGCTCGCCGGGTGGCGACACCATTCGTTCCGAGGCACTGGAAGCAGCAGCAGCAAACTAACTGGCAGGACCTATAGCTCAAATTTTCCAGCGCTGCTTAGACCAGAATCACGTTCCCGTCATATAGAAGCTTGGATAAATAACTCCGATTCACAACGCTGGAAGCAGAGCTTAGCCCTCCAAATACCGCTCAGTATCACTTCTTCTTATACTCTCCAAGGCCGTGGAATCCATATTTGCCGATGCACTGGTGTGTTATCTGGAAAACCTTAACATCATCACTCCTGAGCAGCACCGCTTCCGCCGACAGCGGTCATAGACAACGAAGTTACTAATCACACGCAGTAGTTGGACCGAGTCAGCGGACGCTAAAGAAGAATTTGAAGTAATTTTCCTGGATTTTTCGAAGGCTCTCGATGCTCTAGACCATCAGATGTTACTCTCCAAGCTCCAGCATTACGGGATCGGCAGCCCTCTTTTAAGCTGGATTGTCAACTTTCTACTTCAACAGCAATTAGTGGTCAGAGTTCGGAGCTCTTTCTCGGACCCCATACAAGTTGAGTGTGGTGTGCCGCAAAGGCTCAGTTCTACATCCACGCTTGTTTTTGGTGTTTATTATTGACTTTGTACAGGGAATCGATTCAAACTTCCTAATGTTTGCCGACGATATCAAGATTTGGCGCAGAATCCAGTTGAATGCCGACCAGTGTCTGCTTCAGAGTGACCTAGATACGGTATATCACTGGTCAACTCAAAATTTACTGCATTTCAACTTGTGTACATGCAAGGTACCTTCCATCGGACATCAGAGCAGCTACTCATATCGGCTCGGAACGAATGTATTACAACAAGCAACTGTGGAACGTGACTTGGGTGTGCTGGTTCAAGATGACTTTGGTTGCTACACGCAATCCGAAAAGGTCTCGAAGACTGGAAACCAACATGTCGGGCTGTTGCGACGGGCGTTTGGACAAATAAAGTGCTCCATATTTCGAAAACGCTCAGTGCGTATGTTCGCCCTTATGTCGAATACGCAATTCAAGCCTGGCATCCATGGCTGAAATGCGACCTTAATGCACTGGAGCAACCACTACGTCGGGCATCTAAGAACGTAATTGGAATGCGTGATCTTTCAGACCATGAGAGGCTGCAACGATTGGGGGTAATCAGTGGAAGCTATCGCAGACTACGAGGTGACCTGATTATGACATACTTGATTCTGCGAAACCCACATCATGTGTGCCGTCTTTACTGGGACTCAGCACCAATACAACCCTGAAGGGCCAGTCACTGCAACTTGTAGAACAGTATAGCCGCCTGGAGTGCCGCAGAAATTTCTTTTTCATTCGTGTCTGTCACCAGTGGAATGCACTCTCGGAATCGGTCGTCTCTGCACCGACACTAGCAGTATTTACAAGACGGTTGGATGAAGCATTCATCCACTTACACTTTGGCACTTAGTGCTACGTCTCCATCCTACACCTGGAGTTTACCATGAAATTATTTGACGTTAACTGCGAGTGCTGTGAATCTAAGCGGATTGCAGGACTACGGCGGAGCGAACGATAAGTCCTTATTTTCATATTTAAAGTAACAACTGCTTTATTATTATTCTGATCAATATTGTTATGTAGATATCCCCACCAATTATTCCACGGGACTTGTAAAGCAACGCTTCTTAACCCGTATAAATTCATTGTTCATTGTTCAGTGAGACAATTTGTCATATCTTTGTAGCTCTCCGTCTTTGTACTACCCAAAACCCTGTAAAAATGCTGCCTTGAATGATCTCTACTCTTCCACCACAAATGAAGTCAATTTGCATTCGAAAGCATTGTCTGCCAAAATCTGGAGAATATCAGGCTTAATAAGTACGCCTTCTTTGAGCTCTATACCCTTGATATTGGGAAACAGCTTTCAGGTGCTGAAACGCCAAACCATCTCGCGTGAGGGCTTTGACGACGTTTTCAATCCCGCCAAAATCACTGTGTATGGATAGATAACATCACATTGCACATGAGCTTTGTGCTTTATACTCATTCTCCTGCAGCGTACTCCGTCCTCTCCCGCCCCTTTGCTGTGGTGTAGAGCTGTCAAGTTGCTCTAATGTCCAAGAAGCACAGGAAACAGCCATATTTTGTCAAACCTTCTTGCGAACCCGTTAAGAGTCTAATGCTGCTGCTGCTGCCTGCCGCTGCTGCTGCTGCTGCTGCTGCTGCTGCTGCTGCTGCTGCTGCTGCTGCTGCTGCTGCTGCTGCTGCTGCTGCTGCTGCTGCTGCTGCTGCTGCTGCTGCTGCTGCTGCTGCTGCTGCTGCTGCTGCTGCTGCTGCTGTTGCTGCTGCTGCTGCTGCTGCTGCTGCTGCTGCTGCCGCTGCTGCTGCTGCGATAAGTTCGCGTCCAAGATTCACAGACCTCCGCTTCGGTGGGCGGTTCCAGTGAAAAGTTCCAAGGCGGGCAAATTGACCTGCCTGTTAGACAGGCCGAACAAGGAGGCCAACTGCATTGAGAGTGGGGATACTCAGCCCAGCGGTCCAGGCGCCTACACAAATTGATGATTGAGGATTCATCAACATCGCAAATGACTTTACGGACGCCCTGAGCTACTAAGGACGATATGATGAATGCTTGCTTAGTAAACGAAATGATTTTTGTAGCCCCCACTGGAAAACTGTTTTGCCAGATAACGAACCCAGGCTACAAATTTTGAAACGGAATTATTACTAAAACAGTGGATCCTAGGATTTCAACAGTCTATAGAACTCGATCTTCAGAGCAAGAATATTATCAGACTAAAAGTTGTCTGTAACCAACATTTTATTTTTACACCTATTTTGTGATGGACCAGGTATAGATACGTGGCCAAATAAACATTATATTGAACTATTAAATAAATAAAGGATAAATTTGATAAGTACTGCTTTCTTGCTACTGTATATTACAGCATCCGATCAAAGCACTATATCCAGAACATACACTGCGACGATACGGAAAAGGCCACCAAAAAACCTATGGTCTTCATCTACTTTGCATTTGTGTCGTATATTTCTACTATGCCTAGTTTACAGCCAACTGCCCGCTTGAATTTACATCTATACACCTTCTGACCGACTGCTACTGAACCCCAGCTTCTCCCAGTGTATTAAATAGCCCATTTCTATACTGTTGCTAGTTCAAAACAATAATTTGAAGCGCGATACATGACTGCTGAACTGTAGGGGTGTTTTAGGTGGCACAAAGACACATCCGAGATGGTATGCTGGCAGAATGGCAAATGGCCATATAATGGACTGCATAGTTAAGGTTGCATATGACATAAGGCTAAAAATAGTTGTAGATGCCGAACTAAAGTGCGCCAGTAACACAAAAGGTTGAGCCTGAAGGCAGAGAATATGTATTGCTACTCGTATTCCCGATGACCACTCCGCATCCCTGAATTTATATTTCATTTCAATGCCTTTTTCTACTTTGATTCCTTTTCACTCTGGGAAGGTGATCGACGATGCGACTCACTACCTCATCAAAACAAGTGCTACACGCTGACTTTAAATGCCGGAGCGCTTGTCGGGGGTAAATCCAACTCCACGATCGCGTTCCACTTCAGTGTGGAAAGCGCCACTTGTAAGGCATTCCAACTGGACACCAGCCGACCGGGATGTGATCCAAAGCCATATTTTTCCAACGGACATGAATGCTTGCGCGCTTGTCTCAAGTCTTCACCAACAGAGAAACATCTACAAAGTAAGTCCAAGACATTTTGCTGGTTATGAACTATTCAGGCTTAGCAACAGCAAGCTTCTCCGGGAAAGTCGACTCCACTCTAGCCACAGTTCTGCACCCAGTGTAGCGAATAACTTTTACCTCGCTTCTGATATGAGCCGCATGTTATAAGGAATTCAAGGTTTATCAAGTAGATTGTGAAAGCATGCATTCGTCCTTAACAGCTGTATTTAGGGTATGAACTGTTTCTGCATACAAGTGTCTTCGTCATGGGTAGAGATTACCATGACGCACTGTGATTGGACCAATATGATCAATACGATGGGCCTTTTGAGGGATCAACTAATACCTTCTTCTATGGCTGCTACAAATGGGCCCACGGCCGCGTAATGACAGCTGATGTCTGTTCGACAACGCACTTCCAGTCAGCTCGGTTATTTATAGTTGTTACTTTGCATTTTCCTCGGAACTCCTGAAATGGTAAGATGACAAGTTGGGAAAATAACATGAAGCAGCCTGTAGCGAAGAAGTTAACACCACCAAAATATTTATAGTCAGAACCAGTTTGGTCTAGTCAAAATCAGTCACCCTCGGGAGGCTTCGGCCTCCGAGTAACTCCCAAACTAGTGTTAGGATCCGGCGTATAGCGAAGCGCTATCAAGAGGATAATTCCTAGGAGTTTAACGGAAGATCACTGTGCCCAGCAACCGCAACCAAGACGCACGAAACCGACCGGAGCGGCAACGTAGAACGACCATCGAATAATAATGTATCGATCAAGTTGATTAAAACAAACTGTACAATAAATGAGATGAATAGGAATAAGGACGTACGATTATAAGTTTGTAATTTACAAACAAACGATGAGCCCATAGAGATTTTGTTATGGACTCCCTTTTCATTGAACGCACTCAAGAAACGTTCGCTTATTGTCCTTTCCACGAGTCGAGCCATCAAGTATGCATTTCGGACCAAGCACACAATAATACCTGTGGGCAATCTCGTCACCGTAAACACGATGACGGCAACTTCGTCATTTAAGCGACGCATAAAATGTGGGACTAACGTGGCCCCACTACCGCACCCTAAACCAGAGGGAGTTAGGGCTTGCACAAGAGTGCATTTACTGACTGCAGAAGGATGACACAAGTGGAGACATCCTCTAAGCCAATGCGCAAAACTGTCTGCGTCAGGTGTGTTTTGACGGAACGAGTTCCTTCAAGAATACCTGCTGTGTCATGGTTTGGAATTCGCGCCGTCACACTGCAAGTGTCACGCGGTGTAGCCCCTTGATTGCCCCCAAGCGTATCGGAGTCCGCGCCGCCGGTGCGTACCCATGCGGAACCACTTGACGTTCGCGCAATACATCTAATGCGCTGTGTCCTCCATGAGTGCAAATAAACTTAGCAATCTTTCGATTGGAATAGCAGACCATGTACCATATACACAACTGCACTCCGTGAAGAACGACGTTGTTTGGGCTCTGACAGAAGAGCCAAGTCGATTCCTATGTTCCTTAGCGGTTCACTCAACTACTGTCCGAAATCCCCATACCAGTTGGCTTAGATGCGCATGACTGCATTGATCACTAGCCTATTCCCTATGTAGTCGCTGCGTTTCGGTTCCCTTTGACATGTTGTCCTCCTTCTTACCCGCTCTGTTTCTACTAACTCTAAGGTCCACTGCGAATTCCCGTCTGGCGGCAGGTTGCGCCCTATCGTACGGTATAACTGATTGTATGGCTAAACACATGTATATCAATGAGCATTGTCTGCACTTAAAGCTACGTAGTAATCGTAACAAAAAATGTTGACTCGTTACGGTCTTTTCTTTGAATTACTCTGCGTTAACTCTCATATTGCTCCATTACTGGAACATATGGAACCCCGAAACCGCAATAAATAAGGTAATTAATCGAGTACCGATGATAACATTGTCCGTTAATACTAGTTTCTAGCATTACTAAGTAACAGCTTCCGTCCATACATAACTAGTTCAGACCACAAATATTTAACCTGGACTTGGTGCCGTCATCTTAACCACTTGATATCTAAAGTACGGATGCATGGTAGAACTGGGAACTTAACTAATACTTTATCTCTTATTTTTCTAACTCACCTTATGACTAAGTTGCTACACACGGTATTTGCCACTACACTGATTTCTTTTGAAGCGACCCGCAGGTATCTAAAGCATCGTGATATTTTGTATGTTACTGGTTCCATTTCCTATGCTCCAGGTCATTGTTTTAACGCATCACCGTAAGATGACGAGAACTGATTTCATGCCGATGACCCTGTAACCTTTACATGTTGATCTCGGACAGGAATCCATCCAGATATTTCGCGTGATGCTTGTATCCGTTACCAATGCGTTAGCGGTTTCTGTTAATCTTGTGCTGGAGTGTTTCTTGCGATGCAGCTAGTAACTACAGATAATAATACTTTTGCTCCGTCTGGTGGTGGTAGCAATCTGGCTTCTAGGCTACTGCGATGAATTCAATCACGTTGTCAAAAATTCCTTTTGCTTAAGTAAAATTACTCCTGTGTCACTGGTTGGGGAATTGAATTATAGTTGTCACTGGTTTGGAAATTCGCTGTTCCTGTAACAGGAGTGTTCACTAAGCAATTTGGTAGCACACAGAGAATTAGTGCATAGTGACTATTGTACATTGCTTTAAAAACTTCCTCCTCTTGTTAGCCTGAACAGGCACGATGATGCAAATAAAATGTACCATCAGAAAGAAGTATTGCCAATTCGCACCAACTTTGGATATCTGCATTCCCAACTCTCACACGAATCGCCGTTTACAATGACGGGGGACACAGTCCTGATAGGTTTTGTGCCCTCCACTTTAATTGAAACCTGTTTTAATCAACCGAAGGTGGCTGTAATGTGACAGTGCAGCTGTTCGGTAGGGTCATGTAAGCCCTGTGTTTCTGATTGACACCAGTAGTTCGCTATACGTCAGTCGAATTCCTACCCATTCTTCACTTTGTAGATCGCTGTTTTGCACGTAAAACCCACTCTACTGGTGAATGTGCTCCAGATGAACAACGTGTGTTCCGCTGGTCTTACCTCTCCGAACTACATCAATGTGTACGGTTCTCACAATGCGCCCCACATGCAGATGAGTCCGTTCAACCTGGAAATAATTTCGCCTCCAGAGCGATATGTGAAACTACCTGTATGGGATCAAGTCTAGAAGGTTTGTTTAATAACATTATATGAATGGATTCATACTATACCACGCTAGCTTGTTATTTTCTTGCTTCAAAAGTCTTTCCGTTTTTTAAAGTAACCATTACTGTTTCGGTTTAATTTTCATCTGCTAAATGGTGCATATATTCAAAAACTGAGCAGTACTAGGTTGAGAAAAGAGTGTGTAGCTTATGGCGAAGCATATCAGAGGTAGGATGGCAAACCGTCACATCAGACATCGTGTACATCAGTGGTGGGTTGGTAAATAGTAAAGGTTTCCTTGAATGAAACTAGTCTCTGTCGCCTGTTGCTCCACTACAAAATTTTAACTCTGGGATGAAATAGAACCTATAAGTCATTGCAGCTAGTTCACCTACGGTTTAAAGCTATTTATGTATGGAGGTAAGATAACCTTGGGATTAAAGCTTGCGCATTGTGTTCAACAGAACACCCAACTATTTGGGTACTTCTTCAAATGCTCTGGCTAAAAGAGTACCTTGTATGAAGCAATCGCATGAGATACTTGTATTAGCAAAAGATTCACGAACAACATTATGATGCATTTAATAAAATCCTATGGTTAACTGATGAGAACAAGAAGTATAAATATCCTCCCTTGGTTAAACAGGCAGGAATAAAATGATGAACAATGCATTAAAAGACAACTGGGAAGAAAGGCAAAATGTTTATCTACATAGCGATTACAGGAAAGTCGAAGTTTAATTCCCCTCGGGAAACAATAATGTGATGTGCACTGTAAAGGATCGAGATCACAACATCAGCATGTACTTACATCTAGAATCGTGTGAGAACAACTTGATTAAGCGCGATTCTCCAAAGTGTTAGGTTTGCCATTTGTCATAATTTTTGGAGTTCACCTATGAGCTCAAGATGTAAAACCGGTCCAAAGCCCGCAACCAGACCCGCCGCTTTTCCTAAACTGACTTACATCTCATGGTATATTTCCCTCAGTCTATGGAATTGGTTAAACGTAATACATGAGCACATAATTAAATGCAGGTAATATTCCTCTTTCAATCGCTGTCCTTTTGGCAGCTCAGAATGTGCCGAGGATATGGTCGCTAGGTTTAGTATACAGCTTCGCGGCTTAGAAAGTGATTAAAAAACCCACCTTCTTCTATATATAAGGGCATCATTTAGATATTTAGATATATTAGCATGAGCGTCTTTTGCTGGATCCTTATTCTCACAATTACTGTTGTGGAGCGTTTAGTAAACACCGTTTTCTAGTCCTGGTACACTTATGAGGCACTTACGGCCTAACGACTATGCTACTTGGCCAAGCAGGACGCCGCCAAGTGCCGCTCAGGCTCGATGATCACGATAGTGGGCAGACCAGCACCTCGACATTGGCACTAACGAAAATGTACGTGAACCGGTCAAACATGCCTGTAACACCGAGCAATTAATACTGATGCTTTCCTCTTTAGATTCCAGACATGGCTACTTAGTGTTATACGTCCGAGCAAGGTTTAGGATTACTCTCGGTGTCTATGTGTACCTGATCAATTTGTACAGCTCGTTGATGCCGTTAAATTTTCCAACCACGGGTATCCTTAACTGGAAACACATTTATGTTCAAATAGGTTTTTATGACGTATTCTGGAGCATTTTATGGGGAAGGCTAACCGGAATTTGGAGACGCTATTATTCGTCGCACATGAATAGCATTGCCGTTGTTATGATACCAAAAATTATTGAATGTAAAGACCCTAACAAGCTCACCTGTTTACCTGTTCTCCGGAGCCACAACCATGTAGCAATAATTCTGAGCATCAAGATTAATTTTGAATCAAGTAGGCTCTTAAGGGTAACATGGCTTCAATGGAATATAAGAACCCACACACTGTAAGCTTATTCTGAACTCACTATAACTTGGTGATTAACTGGGGAGGCCAAGGAGCTGCAGAATCACCACTGACAATTCAATAAGCACACACAGAAACTAAATTGTCAAAGATAAATATCTGGAGTTCGATAGGGATGAGTGGTTAGTTCGACTAGAATAATCCACTTAATGTAAATGGTTACTACCTGTACACACACTTTCGACGTCACTTCTGTCATTACATGGTTTCCACTGGAACCGAATCATTATGGTTCACCTGCTAACAATAGGCACGGTTTACACTGCATTACAGAAAGTAGTCTCCACAAGCTTAGGTGTCTATGTGGGTACTTATAGGCCATCGTCGCTGACCAGGGGTTAAGGTAACTTTAGAACCAAACATCTGCACACCCTGGTAACACTCCTGTAACTGATTTTCAACAGCCTACCTTAAACCATTTATCTAAGCGCCAAAGCTTAGAGGAATTCAGCCGACTAATTTCGAAGCTAGACGCAAATGACAACATGATTCTCGCTTCTTTGGGTATTTATGGTTTCGCAAATATTGTCCTACCCGATTCTGTGATGTACTGGTTCAAGTGTCCTACTTGCTATCCTCACGACACCTACTATTCCAGTACATGTTTAGCTGCAAGCGTACGAATCTTCAGGAGAGTGCACCGATGCACCGTTCTTAGACCCATCTAAAAATTAGTAGTCATGCTAACCTATCTTAGATGGAATGCCAATGCTCAATCTGCTGAGGGTTTTACAGGGCTATGGAATCACAACAGCAAGTCAATATTCTGGAGCACATGTGCATCGAACAATCACTTCCTTGAGACTAGATTTACATCGACGTTTGTTTACTTACGTTAACTATTAAAACCACACGCTAACCAGAGAGAGGCATGGAAAGTTGATACTTTTGAAGGACACTGCTATTGCTTATAAGGCAGGGATAGTAGCAGTAATGAAGCATTGGTAGCGCAGTATCATTCGCATCAATTAGATTACGGCACTCGCTGTTGTATATTGCTATAAAATAGTATAGACTTTTTTAACAAACTTTAATAACCCATGGTTGAACTATCTAATAATGAAGTGCTGAGCGATTCAAAAATGCAAAATGGACGGTAAATGCTTCTTCGTTCGTTTCATTGCTTACCGCCCAAGCATGTTTCTTCCTGTGGCTGTTAACCAAGCGTGCAAAATGGACACATTTAGGGTAGGGAGTATGCACGCTTCTCCTCATGATACCATTGAATGTGCAGGTTACTTTGAAAACTTGTAGAAAAGTTTTGCATTGGCAGCAGCTGAATTTCCTTCTAGATACACGCAACTAAAAACATGCATTTTAACAGGGCCATTACACAAATACGCGTGTAAACAGCCATAAATATCTTGTGTATCTTGTGAAAAAAGAATATTTTAAATGTCTATGGTGAATAGCGTTATTTGCCCTGGTCTGTACTTGCACTCTTGTTGCCCGATGCAGTAAGAAGTTGCATGGAATTCACCATTTCTGTCCGACAGTGGGTTTTTAGGTATATATATACAAATTGTTGGATGGCTGCAAGTCTTGGTATTTAGCTCCACATAGAATGCGCAATACGGTTTCAAATGCTTGGTGACTATCCAACAAAGTCTATCTGAGTCTTTTCCTTTTGATGCTGGTAACACTTTCATAGAGAGGTCGTAATTTGAGATCTACAGGACTTCAAAGGAACTGCGTAAGTTGCAGCGGTAATCCACAGTCTGAGTTCGCCAAGCTTTTGCTAAATCCCATTATTCCGTTAATTTTTAGCAAACTTGGTGATTATTCGTTTTTCAATTAGAGGTTTGCCAACTCCCAATGGATCCTGGGCCATGCAGTGCCAACCAACCTCGATACTATTATGACACAAAGGCGGTCAAATGTCGCATGTTTCTCTACGGTGGTTGTCTGGGTAATGCCAATCGATTCACTTCCCGTCACGAGTGCCTGATGGCGTGCTCCGAGTTTGCCACAAAGGTCATGCTTCCGAATGTCACATCAGTGAAAACCGTATTACATTTGATGCCTACGGATTCGGAAGCTCAGGCAACCACACTGCCTGTTGCTGTGTTTGAGCTAATGCGCCGAGTCACACAGCATCATACAGATCATTTCCGTAAGTTCATTGCGATATACGAGTGGAATATATTTGTGGTTTAAAAATACAAATCTAGCTTGGCTCATAATTATTTGTGACTGCACCCATCCGTATTTACGCTTTGACAAATAATATCTACTAAACCAAAATTTTTCAGAAGATGGAAAACTTTGAAGAATTGTTAATTTGCGATCTACTTTAACAAGATGAGTAAAAGCCTAAGCACATTAGAAGCCCCGCTGACAAGTGTTGCGATTTACCTGAGTACCATCTTAATCAGCTTAATTTGACCTTTTTAAATTCCCAATTGCCTCCTTATTTATGCATTATAAAGAGGATGAAGTGACTTCATCGGCCGTGCTTACGTGAAATAAACCGGTGGTTAACAAATCTATGTATTCCAATGAGTATGAATCTTACGGGTTGTTTACATTTGAATCTTTCGTCAGCCGATCTTGGTATTACATAATCTAAATATACTTTGGCGCTATAGGTGATCTTCGGTCCTTTAATTTCTGTTTTTTCTGAAACATGAAACATGCCATTCAATGAGTAGCTAAGTTTGTCCGAATCACGCAGTTTCGTAATGACTATGATTGCAAATCTGAAGCCACAGTCCATGTATCATGTTAGTGCCAGGCTTTAGAATCAAATCGTTTTCAATATTTCACAGAATCAATAGTCATCTATCTAAGCGCCGCACCTGCTACTAACCTAATGACGTTATTTGTTCTTGGTTGACTAAGTGAAGGATGGACTTGATAACTAACTCTGGAAAATCATTCGATTTTCCGATTTCTGGAGAATGGGTTGCGTGCATAACGCATTTAAATAAACGCATTGAGTAGTATTTTCTAAAAAATATATGTTTTCTTATTCTTTGTTTGACTGCTTAGTGTCAAGCAGTCATCATTTTGGGACTCCAAATCTTCGGATATGGGGTAGTTATAATTCTCGGAAGCGCAAGTACTTGGACGATAACCGGAACTCCATACTTGTTATCATGTGTTGTTGCTAATCCATTTAGGAATCAATTAGAGGCAATTTTAAGCGCTATAGTCCATGTCTATGCTGCATGACTACAATCATTTTGGGAAGTCCACATCACTATTTGTTAAAGCTTGCTACGGGGTAGCCGCAGGTTAGCGATTATATGTATTGAATGGTAAACGTACATTGTTTAGTGTGGCGTGGAGCACCAACCCGCAATACCGAAGGTCCAGGTGTATTCATCATTCCGTACACGTAATGGTTCGAATTGAAAGTGTGGTTCCAGTTGTAATAAAACTTTTGTACAAAATGAAATTTAGGGAATCTAGAAAAACGCAGGTGGGACCAAGATGGTATGCTGTCTGTAAACAGCCTTTTTTTCTGATACATCTTCCGTCTTTACAATGAAATACCACAAAGAGTTGCGTATTCCCCCCATGCTATGGGGGAAACTTGCAAACAAATGATGTAACTTCCTCGGCTACCCGCTCTGACGCCCTCTTTGCAGTGGACACAATTCGGACCGTGCATATTTATATCCATCTGAGCAACACAGTTCATCTATTGGTACAGTCCCAGATTAAATGTCGCCACCTCTGAAACCCAGAGCTCTACAACATCTACCCACTACTCACAGGCAGTGGTAAAAACATAGTAGTAGTTATCCGATGGCAGCTAGAGACCAGAGTAAATCTCTGTCATGTGAGCCGTAAACAGTTATGACGACCTAATCGTTAAGATTCTCTTTATAACCGTCAATATAGATATTTAATGTTTCGCCACAATGTTCTCTTTGTCATGAATGGGAAATTTCCCTCTGATGCAGCATAGAAATTAAGTTAAATATTTTGTTTCCTTTTGTGCAGTTCATCCGTGTTAGGTAACTTAGGAGTATAACTTTAACTCTTTATTCCCTACCCTAGAACAAGTGTGAGGAATAGCATTAGGTACTTCAGCCAAGCCCGTATCCCTAGTGCAATAATTGAAGTCCAATTAGGAGATAACATTACGCTAGCAGTAGTTGATTCTTCCATTTCTCTCCGTGTTCCGAATGAATGCCTGAAATTAAGTTAACGGAATGCGAATTTCCCCACCTATGTTTACGCATTACATCTAATAAAGTGGCGTGTAACGGAACTGAAATACAATCAATTCTGGATCAATCTGTTGCGCTGACAATGGACTAACATTGAGAAACTCAGTCAGTTGAAATGTCCAAATTATATTTGTTGTACCAAGATGGACGCGGAGAGACAACTCACCACGAATGTACATTATCACATGAAGTTGCCGTCTTATGCCAACTTGAGGTGGCTGTGCGATTCAGCTAAAACCGTTTAACTACCATAAGTGTGACAGTGATTTCTCTGGCACAGTTATTCTTGCTAATGATTGTAAATGGAAGCAAAATTTTAACCAGTTTCAAACTTTAGTTAAGTAATTCGACCCATTTAGCTCAGTAAAACGGGTTTACTTGCTTATGTTATAGCTGATCGCTGATTTTCGTACACAACGTATTCTGTTCTTTGTTCAACGCCAATCCGTTCCAATTGCTTCCCTACCTTTCCCTGTTCGCAGCTTGGGATTTGTGTCTGGAGACGCATTCGTATGGGACATGCCCATTGCTCAACGGCTATCATCACTTCACCAGTGGATTTACTCCTAAGCAACTCACCAGATACTTCTACGATCGCCGGCTTGGGAAATGTCAGCCATTCACCTATACTGGATGTGGTGCGAGAGGCAACCATTTTGACACACAACAGGATTGCGACCTCGTCTGTGAGCGGCGACTACGCGGCCCAGGTAAACCATGCTTTATCAAAACCTTTCTTGGCTTTAAAACCTAATTTACTGCAAGAGAATCTAATCATTCAACGGCTATTGACTTGTTATACAATGCTTACTCGAAAGGAAGAGTCAGAACATAATTAAAGACCTTAAAGTAGCTCAAACTGGTTTTAATGGGGAGGTTTATCCGGGGAGGAAAAGACGGTCAACATGTGTACTCAGAACATTGGTGGCAAATAGCATCGGTCAGATAGTAAAACTACACAACTGACTGACCATCATTGATTCAGCCAAAAGGCTTCACAATAAAATCGGTTACTGCAGTAGGTCGGATAGTATCCGGCCGAGTATTTGGCTTTGTGCAGTATGAATTACTGCCTTTATCCTGCCCTCTGTATACAACAGTTAGCGCTTTCCCACAACGGATTATTATCTATTTACGAAAGTGCCTCATTCGTATCCGTCAGGTATTTTTTTCTTCTAGATGATGCAAACATGAGTCCATGATTTTACTAAAGAACACATTACCGGTAATGCTCTAAGTATGCCCACTGTTTGAAAGAGCGATGCATGCGCTTTAAATGTTGTATGCATGTGTTTAATTGTAAAGCAATATATTGTTTGCTACATGCTAAGTTGGTGACCACGGTACTGTTACAAAAGAAGCAGTTTCTAATCTCGCAATTCTCTCTAAATGTAGCAGGTATCTGATTCGTTTTCACAAACTATTCGCACTGCAATATACCATTAATATGCCGTCATCTCGGCATTATGTATGTGCTCCGTTTCTTGGAGAAGTCTTACAGTTTTTCGGCTGGGTTTAACTTGCTGTCATTGTTGCAACGTACGAGGTGATTAACCTTCGTGATAGCTCTCAACATCAAAATGATCAAAATATTCAAATCCACTAGCGTTCACGATAAAAGAAAAGTAGCCGCCACTTCTCACGGTCGGTTAGAACATACCGCTATATTTGGGCCCCACTTACTTGAAAGAGGATTAATTTAGTAATGTCCGCTTTCACTCCATTACCACAAGAAAATCTTAAGCCCGATATCATACTTCACGTGTACTTTAACCCAAGCGAGGAATGTGCACTCACACCAAGAAGTTCCAGCATCTGCAGGTTCGTTCCTCACGAAAATTGTTTACTGGTCATTTTCACCGCCAACTTTGTTTAGCCGAAGTGGTTCTTTTCCAATTCAGTAAACGGACTCATTGTACAGTGAATTATGCGAATTTTAAAACGACTCCAATTCAAACCCCTGGGCACCCAGCGATGAGATGCATTTGCAATCGTTCCGCTGCAAATTTCGTGTTAGCAACAATTTACCTGTGAGATTCAACTGAGGCGTAGACTCCAAAGAGTAAATGCCAAGTTACTTATATCATTTAACAACTTTGACTAGAATAATTGTATACGATAAATCTCGATGGGATCCACTGTAGTTTGTACAACAAACTGAGTGTATTGAAATTGAGAATATGGGACTGGGGCATGAAAAGATAGATGATACTGATCTACACTAGGTCAAGTTAGCATCTGGTATGAAGAGCGTGGGAAACGAATTATGCAAATGATGGTATCGAGTGGCCTAAGTGACATCAGCATTGAATGTGGGTTGTAGACATTACAAGGATGGAAAGCTGGTAAGAAGGGCTGCCAGAAAGAAGCTGAAAACAATAAATGTATAAGTTCTTTGTTATAGACGTGGGCTTTGTTAAACAAAGTCCAATCTAGATGCAGATAAAAACAATGAACTGAAGGGGCTGGGTAATATGCTCATGTCGCGACAGTTCTGAAAAGATAATATGATCCGCTTTAGTGACAGGAAATTGACAAGCAGTTAAGGTGTCCTTGGACCGCAGTCTCAGATTTATGAGCTTGAAATGTTGGATCCAGAATTAACGTTAAATATCGTAATCTATTTATATCAGCAGGATGGTTGTTTAATGGTAGCAGTAATGTTTAATGATAGTAGTAATTTTCTTGGTTAACTATGAACCAACACAATCTGAAGCATACGACGGATATTACAAACTACTCTGGGGTTTATCTGACCTCTCCTATGGTTGCTCGACTGTCAGTCACTAAAACGGTTTCGAAATCGCCTGTCGGATGTGTACGAACGCTTTAACACAAGTATTCGGGCCCATTATAGGTGAACTCCACCAGTTCAAGTGCGCTAGTGGCGCCAAATCTGTGCAATGCCTTAACAAGATCTCACAGCGGTAAGGCCTCTAATGGGTCAGCATTGCGATTAGCACAGTGCAAAATAAATTAGTTAAGAACACTTATATTTATATATATATATATATATAGTGCGTAGATTACCAATGGGAAATTCAGGATGAAATTAAAACCAACTGAGTGGTTTAAGAAAACAGACCCATTCCGCTCAACAGAAATAATAGCAAAACTGTATATCATGCAAACGTAGGAGAGTTTATGCAGCTGTCCAGCTAGAGTGCACGAACGCAGTAGGTTAAACTTGAATCATAAAGGCATTCTCCCCAGTTGGCACACGACATAAATCATTAGTTACTCCAATAAATTTGCTGATACTGCGTAACTTTTGTATGAGTTGGAACAAGCTTTTACATTACTTCAGTGTCCGAAGCAGTAAAACCTTCCTTTTTATAACGAGATTTCGCGAATCGCCATAGACTGCGATCACGCTGCGTCAACTGACACAGGTACTAATTTCCTATTTTCTTGTTCCATTCAAAACTCAAACTATACATGATTATAAGAAGGGCGCTATAAACTCGAGGATGTAAATCCTGTAAGCTTTGGTTTGTATCATCAAAACGTTATTGTTAACGGACGGTTTTGTTCATTTTCTTGACCCATTCGGGGTCCGGTTATGAGTTGCGCCTTCGACTCTATAGTAGCCGGACTAAAGTAATCCTTGTGGTCGATGTGGTGGCCTGTAGTAGTTTGATCAGTAGCTGTATCCGTTTCCGACAACCTACGCTATGAAATAGGTTCGAAAATGGTATTGATTGGCGCGAATACAGTAGTGGGTGTACCGTAAAAGGTAGGTGAATTTGGTGGACCATGATGCAAACAACCCAGTAAAAATATTTCACTGAACACGATTAGGCAGACGAAATGACCATTACAAATGTAGCATCGTTAATTTCCTCCAGACTTCCTACTTTTGATGCTACTTGGCCAACAATGTTATGTGACCATCACGACAGCGGGGTCAACTCGTTACCCACTTTTGCATAACATAATGTCTCGGAATCCTCTTGGGGACAAATGAGCTTAACTGTTCAGAATGCGCAGTCTTGGTAATTAGTTGGCAGTATGTAAAACGTTATTATTTGCCTACTAAATGATTTTCAGTAGTATGCATATTAATAATCATATCCAACTATCTCGCCAGCACACGATAGATGCCAGCCAAATGTCACCGTCAAGTTGTGTCCTGGAAGCGGGTTATACGGTTGGCTGTTTAACCACTCAGTTGGCGATTGTCAGGCGGCTGAGCTTTGCTTAAATTCGGCACACACCGGTGGCATGACGAACGCATCATCCGTTGGTGGAAAACGTCTTCGACGAACCAGCCAGTGGCAGTCTCGAACAGGACCACACTCCGTCAGTGTATATGCAACACGAAGTGCATGCCAATATCACTGTTTGCCAAAGCCCCCTAGAGGCACAGATGCACAGAGTAAGTATTGTCATGATAACGCCAAATACGTAAGTGTACGCGATAGCAACGTTCATTTCAGGATATCTTCCAAAATCATAGAGTACAGGAGGTCAACCCGCTAGGACATAAAATGCATGACCCAATATTCAAGATTATGATGATTTGAATTCAAGTTGGGTAGACAGCCGAAGACTGTGGGTCTAAAGTCACCTGTTTAATAGCCCGTATGGATTGCAGATCTGGTACAGAATAAACTACTGGCCCAAATAGGCCTCAAGTCTGATCAATCATTGGTGGATGGATGTAGCAAGGTTTCGGTGTCGTTACTAAACCTAGTCGATGATCGGGACTCACTTGTGCTATTCAGTTGATTATGAACCTTGCACCAAGATATTCAGCACGTATGTACACGATGTAGATTGTCTAATTTACTGCTACATTAAGAAGACGGGAGGATTAACTTCAAAGCAAATAGAACAGTATATTCAAGGGTATGGTGGCTTTGTACATGAATATCCACGTTTGCTTTATAAATAGTCGTTTGTGTGTCTCCTAAACGATCCATCCCATCATGATTACCTCTGCTGGCCAGTAAAATTTAATTCCAGCCCGTGTAATAAATGCTGCACATGTCCAGGTAAGTACAACAAAAGGTATTCATTGTTCATTTCAGAAGCTTTTGAATACAAATCGCTTTTATAGGTTTTTATTGTGGTCACAAAAAACCTACAAAAGACGGTTCGTAATCAAAAGCTTGTGAAATCATGAGCTCCCAGTCGGTTTCAAGCGTATTCCGAGGTACTAAATATTCCTCGTTGCTCCCACTATCGCTAGTGTCAGCAATAAATTTAAAGCTAAAGAACTACAGGATTTGTATTATTTACAGACACGACTGTGCAAGCTTTGGCAGAACATCGGCTAATTTAGCTTGCGGACATACGATTACTTTATACACAGGTTTAGCTTCACAGCTGTTGTGATGGTGGTTTGTTACTAAACTTTTCAGCTGAATACTTGACACTTTTTGAACAGATCAATTTCTTCATCCATGGCACTCTCCCCCGAAACAGGCAATCTGAGGCTGCTGTGGTAAATGACAACTCACAGATCGTCTTGCTTTTATCACAGTCAGTGCCTCATATTTCAATATGGACTGTATAGACTACCATTCGGACTGCCGTGCTTACTTCGTTCCGTCAGAGTAACTTGACCAACCGGCTCCAACCCACGGAGACACCGATTTGTTCCCACATGTAGTGTTAGGGTTCGGGGGTTTCCGTGTTACTTCATAACACTGCCACTCCTCGACCGGCGGTTTCGTCCCGGTTTGGGATCATTAGGTGGAAATAACCTGAGAATGATTGGGGTTATATTTTTGCTAGTCAGAAGTCTGGTCCATTAGATCAGTTGAAACACGTATTTACCGGTAGTCCGCACTTAGTTATTAACAAAGGTGTAAATTAACGGTGCTTAATAAGCAGCTTGTTGGGGAACGCCGGTTATGACGATTGCCTTGGACACACAAATAGGCTGCAATTTATTAAATCATCCAGGGTGCATATTCTTAATGCAGGGCTTCAGTAAAGAAAGAGATTTTGTTAACACTGGATTCTACAGAGTAGCAAAAAATGTATGCGCCAGTTATTCTACGCGATAGCACATTTCCGCTATACAATCAGACTTGCCTATTTGATACGCCAACCGTCTAATTCCGTGTCAGCGAAATGGCGTTCTAGTTACCTCAATGCTTGCACTTCACTGCAGCTTCGTCTTGGGTCTTGAACTGAAAGACGGTGATTCATCGTTCATAAACTATTTCTGAGCCATCATGGAAGCCGGTATAACCATGTGAGGCACAGTGCCATAACTCTAAATTGTCCCAAGCAGCTATATCGCAGTTTCTCAACACGGTATACTCTGGGTTGTGCTTCCGATTGGCTTCAACTTCTCTCCATGTTTTCATACAAAAGGAACCGAAACCCGGAGTGGTATACTCAACCGCAACTGCTGTGTCCCCTTACTGAGGTACTGAAGTCATCTTAACTACATCAAAGATGCTACTTTTATTCACAAATTTGTACTATATTGAGCAGGAACCGTGTATGTTTTAACACCACCGTAGACCCACTTCACCGAGGTTATCTTTGAGCACTTCATTCAGTTCGTTTTTGGACTAGGCACTGTTGTGTCATTTACTCTTTATGTGCACTTCCCGTTTTATTTTCAGATGTATGTCACATGAACCCAATCGTCACCGTACCATTTGGATGCAATGCGATGATTACCCGATGGTATTTTGAGCCGAGGGAAGCGATTTGCAGGAGTTACATCACTTGTCCACAGTACGGAAACAACTTTGCCAGCGAGAAAACTTGCCAGGAGGTTTGCATGCCAACGCATCCACTACGTAGGTCTACTACCGTGTTGTTACTCCACTTGTTACATTACAACCTCTAATACAATGACGACATATCGGTAACGCTCTGACTTAAACGGCCATTAGCCAATGCTGCAGTTCATCCGGCACATTTGATGCTTCGTTGCTGCATTTTGTCTCTAATTCCATGGATGAATGTGTGTTGTTGCGAGGTTAACGATTAATCCCAAGGGACATGTTTGGCTGTATACACTGAGATCACTGCATTTTTTGTCAATTAGCTGCCAACAACTTGAGTAACGACTGTATGAAAATGCTATTAGGCGGAAAGGAGTTGGGGTGCACAGTTTCGTTATGGTATTATGCCTAAACAGTGTTTCCATCGTGGAACTGGCTGCGCGCCTGCCACCTTCACGTATAGCACTGGTATGTATTTTCCAAATAGTTTAGCCTAAGTGTATGATAGATCGAATAGGTGGTAACTCTCAGTCATGCTATTCCGGATGCACACTAAATAGCAGTTGAATAGATAGAGCTACTAATGGTAAACAGTAACTCACCTATGATCCCTCTTAAGGTGTAGTTATCCTTTGGTTGTTCCTGATCACAGTGATGACAAGTTCGAAAACGGGTGCTGTCAAAAGCCAACATAGTTTGGCAATAAGCTGAGTGATCTAACTAAAACACTGCAAGTATCAGTGGCTTGAAGAGGTACTTGGTTTGAATCACCACCGAATCCACAGCACACGGTTTCATCCAAGGTGCTATTGATGCGATTACATCAACTCATCCACTGAGCAATACACATAAAATATTATTATTTTTCCTAAACGACTCCTGTGGCTTTATACATGGGATAGCTCATATTATAATCTAAGCCACCATGGATTCTGTATTATTCTTGCTGTGGCATAAAACAATGCAACGGATAACTCAAACTAGATCAATCGACGTCAAAAGTGTGTCCGTTTCGTAGTTATAACGAGTCAAAAGCGTTCAATGGCTTTTCATCAGTTGCTGACTCCGTAACATGGTTCCCTTAGAAGATTGATAAAAGCAAACTGCATTAGCATGACGTCGGGTGCAGAAGTAGCGCAGTTAACAAAACTAACTGTTTCCTTTATAAATCGCTGTCCTCTACCATAACAAGAAGTAACATGAACAAAGGTAGATGTCCTAGCAAATCTTATTCTTTCAGTAGCCGCTATATATATATATATATATATATATATATATACAGCAAGAGCGTGTTGTTTCCCAAACAAATGATTTTCGGGTCCAAACTGGTAATGTTTAGTGGTTCGCAGCCAACTCATAAGGGTCGGAGCACTTCAGGGCAGTAAATTCCAACGTTACAAAGGATCAGTAAGTTTTTGGTACACATTTATCTTTGATTCATCTTCACATTGCCACGTCACACTTGTGCAGGTCAGTTGAGGACAGATATATATCATGCAAGAGAAAACAACTGGTAACCGGACAGTAGCCACTAATTCATCAGCCTCAACTATGAATGCGCACTGCGTGTGATGAGAGTCAAAGAACAAAGTGAGCAGACAGACCAACCGAGCGAGCCAGACGGCAAAATGGGAAACGGACGCAACGGATTTTAGTACTGGACTCGGATTGGCCGATATTCGTGTGAGTAATTCATCTTTTCTTTAACAGTAGCAAAGGATGAACCTAATTGACTCAGGAGATCCCTTAGTTACGGACTTGAACTTGCAACTTATATCGAGGAGTTTGGTTTGCTAAACGTGCTGTAAATGTATGCGACTAGACTTTGCTGAGTAAACGCTTGTCCCTGAAGAACATAGTTCTACAACTTGTTATCAGAGAAGACAAAGTCGAACCCCACTGGTGGCGCTCCGATGCTGTTTGGATCATTAGTGTGTATTCAAATGCTTGCCCCATTGACATGGATGAATGGAATTTGGCGAGTGATTGGCATATATGAAGGAGCAAGTGGATAGATTCCTGCACCTTAGTACGTTTGGACAAACGACCCATAGAGTATCGCCTGGCCATGTTTCGACACGCAGCCGGAGATGACGCGCGTCGAGTGATAGAGATATTACAATACTACTAGGCGAAGATCCCAACAATTTGGAGATATTCATTGAAAAGTTCAGTGAATTTTGCGAAGGTTAAACCAACGAGATCTACCAGCGCTATCCTTCCGTTTCGCGCAATAGAGTCCCAGACGAATGCGTCGAAGCGTACATCACTGATTGGAACAGGTTGGACCAATCCTGTAATTTCCGTAAATTCATGGGTGACAGTCTCATACGCAGTCGGATCGTTCTAGGAATCAATGATGAAAGTATGACAAAGCGGCTTTTGCGAAAACGCAACTTATCACTCTAGCAGTGCATCGGCATCTGCGACAGTGAGTCTTCTACCGCCTATCAATACCAGCACATGAAACTCGCAGCTGCTGCAAAGCTGTGTGCTGTTTCCCGATGCGACGCAGCGAAGGCTGCTAACGTGAGACAGGAGATCTGTAAACTTTGCACCGCGCGACGCCCAAGCACCCGCGAACAGTGTCCGACGTGGGGTCGGAGATGCGTCAAATTTGGAAAAAGGAATCACTGTTCATTGTTGCCGATCAACCAATGTCGTCCGTGACAACTCACCCGCAGTAGCAAAACATTCAATTGGAAACGTGTCTGGGATGGTGCCGCAGAAAGGTGTCTACGCAACTCTTTCGATCGTAGGCAAGGCCACACGATTCCAGTTGGACACGGATGCTACTGTCAACATTCTACCAACGAAACACTGTCCTGGAGTGTGCATTCGACCCGATCAAGATTGCTTGCGTATGTGAAATAGTTCCAGACTTCATCCGAAGAGCACAACTGCAATCCAAGTCTTTAACCCAAGAGCTGGAGGCTCACATGAACTGCGGTTTGTGATCGTGGAGGAGGAGCTCACGGCGATTCTCGGAATTGATTCGATCCAGTCTCTCGGTTTTGTTGTTTTTAATCATGACCGTTTAGTGTAGGTTTGTCAGGGAGAAACCGATATTAGTGATCAGTATCCGTCATTGGTTAGCCCGGGTTTGGGAAAGCTTGAGGGAACCGCCCACTTGTCCTTAGATCCGTTGATACGACAGACAACGCTACCTGCTAGGAGAGTTCCATTTACGTTGCGCGATTTGTTCTCCGCTGAATTGAACAAATTGGTGAAATAGCTTGTGATTGCTAAAGTCGACGAGCTAACCGACTGAGTTAGTCAGGTCTCAATCACTGCGAAGAAGACGGATGAACTACGCGTGTGTATTGACCCGAATGAGGATTTGCGTAGAGAGCATTCTGCACTACCTACCCTAGAAGACATTTTCCGCTTCTGGCCAAAGCTAAGTGTTTCACGAAGGTATACCTCCCTTTGGCATTCCGGCATGTGGTTCTAAATGATGAATCCAGTTTCCTTACTACCTTCGCAACACCGTTTGGGCTTGATCGTTGGCTGCGTTTGCCGTTTGATTTGAACGTTTCGGGTGAAATTTTTCAAAAGCGTTTGGTGCAAGCTGTAGAGGATTTAGCTGGTGTAACATGCGTGGTAACGTTGTTTTACTCGATGGCTTGACAGAAGAAGAGCATGACGCTAATCTCAACCGTTTCCTGCAGCATTCTGTGCAAAAGAACACTAAGCATAAAAGTGAGAAAATTGAACTTCGGAAAGACGAGATGATTTTTCATGCACATTTGCTGACAACTCAAGCAGTCAGCGTCGACCCAGGAAAAAGTCGGCAATTCGAGAGATGACATCACCTGACGACGGGAACTGAATTCATGGCCTAAACATTATGATGAATTACTTGAGCCGTTTTATGCCAAGACTCGCTGATACCATGACGACGATCAGGAAGTTAACTCACGAAGGAGTAAAGTGGAGTTGATGAAATAAACAGGAAACCGCATTCGAAACTATTAGGCACCTCATCAGTAACGTGCCTGTACGCGGGTATTACGATCCAGCACAGACTTTGGAGGTACAGTGTGACAGTAGCCAAGACGGAACATGTGCTGTTCTCTTACAGAATGAAAAACCTTCGGATTTCTGCGGTCGAGCACCCACCATGACCCAGCAGCGTAATGCGCAGATAGAGAAGGAGATGCTTGCGGTAGTCTATGCCACGGAGCGTTTCAACGATTATACTCTCGGAATAAAGACAAATTTGTGTGCCGACCATAAGCCGCTTATGTCGTAGTCAAAAACCGCTTCACGTCGTTCCTCGTCGCCTTCAGCGTATGCTTATCCGGCTTCAAAAGTACGACCTGTATATTTTGTATACATTTGGTGCACAGATGTTCATCGCGGATACACTGTCAAGAGCTTACCTACCGGTACTCGAGCATAATCAGGAAGAGGTCGAAGCAGTAAACTTAGTACAGCACCTGGCAGTGACAGAAGATCGCCTAAAGGAAAGACGCCACCTAGAGGAAGATGCAGCGCTTTCAACTTTGCGAGACATTGTTCTTAATAGATGGTCAGAGACAAAGAATCAGCAGCCGAAGGAACTAACGAACTACTTCAATTTTCGGGATCAACTCTGTCTAAGATGGTTTTTTGTTCAAGTGAAGCCATATTCTGATCCCGTCATCGCTCCGAGGCTAAACGCTGAAATACATTCATAGAGCTCACCTTGGTGCCAACTATACCATTAACCGAGCAAGAAAATTGATCTTTTGGCCAGGAAAGAAGGCTCAAATAAGTGATCACATATCAAACTGTGAGGCTTGTCTTTCGCAAGAAATCCGCAGATGAGGGAACCAATGATGCTGCATGATGTCATTACTCTACCGCGGCAGAAAGTGGCGGTGGATTTATGCGGTTCCAACGAGAAAGCTTACTCACTATGGATTAGTACAAGGATTATTTTGAAATCGATCTACTCACCACTATAATCACAGAGGTAGGAAACAATAAGCTCCGATGTCAGTTCGCGCGGCACGGTATACTGGAGGAGTTGGTCTCCGACAACTGACCTTTGTTTAACAACGCTGCGTTCCAGGCCTTCGCAACAA